TTATTTCCTGCATTTTTGGGGTAGGATGCTCCAGCACAGAGGATTTGGTGCTGACAGCTGCATTTTTTTAACCATTTACTCCCGTTTCTCCCCCACCCAGGGCCCCGATTTTGGCTACGTGGCCCGGCAGGCTCCAGAGGGTGCTTCCAGCCTGGATTCCTTCGGGAATTTGGAGGTGAGCCCGCCCGTGACGGTGCAGGGCAAGGAGTACCCCTTGGGGCGCATCCTGATCGGCAGCAGCTTCCCCAGGTGAGCCGGGGGCAGGAACACCCCCAGCGCAGGATTTCCCGGCCCCGTTCGGGGTCAGCTCTGAGCGGGGCCTCCCCCAAGCCCCGGTGCTCCCCAGGGTGGGCGGCCGCAGGGTGGCCAAGGCCGTGCGCGATTTCCTGGTGGCCCAGAAGGTGCAGGCGCCCGTGGAGCTCTTCTCGGACTGGCTCACCGTCGGCCACGTGGACGAGTTCCTGAGCTTCGTCCCCGCGCCCGACCGGAAGGTAATGGGTCCTAGGAGTGGAGAAAAGCGGGATGAGACCCTCAGAGCCTTCCCCGACTTCCTCCTCCTCCTCCCCTGCAGGGATTCCGGCTGCTCCTGGCCAGCCCCAGCGCCTGCTACCAGCTCCTGAAGGAGAAGCAGGAGGAAGGGTTTGGCGAGGCCGCGATGTTCCAGGGTAGGGCGGGACGGGCAGTGGGGATCTGTGGGTTTGTTTTCCCTTTTTCCTGCAAAATGTGATGGGAGAGGTGGATGGAGCCTGAAAGCCGGCTGGGAAGTAGGGGCAGAATGGAGTACAAGTGATTAATTAATTAATGAAAAGCTGCAGGGAGTGGATTGCTGGGTTGGGATGGAGCTCCAGGGTCAGAGCTGGAGTCTGAGCCCGGCTGAGCTGGGGCAGAATTCCAGCCTGGCTCCCTCTTGACAGGGCTGGACAGGGTGCCCAAGCCCACCATAAACGAGATCCTGGCTAACGAGGAGCTCCGCAAGTTCAACGACTACGCCCAGGTGAGGACGGGGAGCAGGAGGGTCCAACCCATCGCTCCCTCCATGTCCTTTTGTCCCCCTGTCCCTCTTTCCTCCCTTCCATCCCTCCTCCCATCCTCCATCGCCACCCTCTTCTCCATCCATCTCCCCACTGCTCTGTCCCTCCTTCCATCCATCCCTCCCTCCACGGATCCCTCCATCCCTCCATCCATCCATCCATCCATCCATCCATCCATCCATCCATCCATCCATCCATCCATCCATCCATCCCTCCATGGATCCCTCTGTCCACCTCTCTGCCCACCCTTCTCTCCATCCCTCCCTCCAGCTGCCTGCCCACCCTGATGTCCATCCCTCTGTCCCTCTTTCCCTCCCTTTGTCCCTCCATCTCCCCATCCCTCTCTCCCCATGCCCTCATCCCTCCATCTCCCCATCCCACTGTGCATCTCCTTGTCCTTCCATCCCACCGTCCATCTCCTTGTTCCTCCATCCCTTTCCCCCCACTTTGTCCTTCCATTTCTCCATCCTTTTGTCCCTCCATCTCCCTGTCCCACTGTCCCTCCCTCCCCTCCCTCTCCCGCTGACCCTCCCTCCCCGGTGGCTCCCAGAGCTGCATCAGCTGGAACCGGGACATCCTGAAGCGCTCGCTGGGCCTGGCCGAGCCCGACATCCTGGACATCCCGCAGCTCTTCCAGAGCAACGCCCACTCGGAGGCCGAGGCCTTCTTCCCGGACATGGTAGCGGCACCCCTGACCTCCCTGGGCTGGGATCGGGGTCGGGATTGGGGCTGGGATGTTCCCTGGTGGGCTCGGGGTTGGGACTGGGGCTGGGATGTTCCCTGATGGGCTCAGGGTCGGGGCTGGGATGTTCCCTGGTGGGCTCAGGGTCAGGGCTGGGATGTTCCCTGGTGGGATCAGGGCTGGGATGTCCCCAGGCTGGGACTGGGGTCGGGATGTTGCTTGATGGGATTGGGGATTCCCTAGGCTGGATGCTCCCTGGGGTGGGATTGGGCTCAGGATCAGGGCTGGGATGTTCCCTGATGGGATCAGGGTCGGGGTCGGGCTGGGATGTCCCCGAGCCAGGATTGGGGCCGGGATGTGACCTGAAGGGATTGAGCCGGGATGCTCCCTAGGGTGGGCTCGGGCTGGGATCTCTCCAGGGCAGGATTGGGGCTGGGGTGTCCCCTGATGGGATTGGGATTTCCTTGGGGTGAGATTGGGGCTGGGATGTCCCCTAATGGGATTGAAGCTGGGATGTCTCTGGAGTGGGATCAGGGCCAGGATGTTCCCCGGGTCAGGATGTTTCCTGATGGAATCAGGGCTGGGATCTCCCCTGATGGGATCGGGGCTGGGATGTCCCCAGGCCAGGATGAGGGGTGGGATCAGGGATGTCCCTGGGCTGGGATGTGCCGTGCTGGGATCGGGATGTGCCCTGACGGATGGGGATGTGCTCTGATGGGATCGGGATGTCCCCAGGGTGGGATGTCCCCTGATGGGATTGGGGTGTGCCCTGATGGGATCAGGATGGGATGGGATGTGCCCTGATGGGGTCGGGATGTACCCTGACGGGATGGGGATGTGCCCCTATGGGATGGGGATGTGCCCCGATGGGATCGGGGTGTGCCCTGATGGGATCGGGATGTCCCCGGGGTGGGATGTGCCCTGATGGGATGGGGATGTGCCCCTCTGGGATGGGGATGCCCCCCTCTGGGATGGGGATGTGCCCCTATGGGATCGGGATGTGCCCTGATGGGATCGGGATGTCCCCTGATGGGATGGGATGTCCCCTGACGGGATGGGGATGTGCCCCTCTGGGATGGGGATGTGCCCTGATGGGATGGGGATGCCCCCCTCTGGGATGGGGATGTGCCCCTCTGGGATGGGGATGCCCCACTCTGGGATGGGGATGCCCCCGGCCGCTCCTGCTGGACTCCCCGCGCTGCCCCAGGTGAACATGCTGGTGCTGGGCCGGCACCTGGGCATCCCCAAGCCCTTCGGGCCCGTGGTGGGCGGGCGCTGCTGCCTGGAGCAGCGCGTGCGGGAGCTGCTGGAGCCGCTGGGCCTCTCCTGCACCTTCATCGACGACTTCTTCTCCTACCACGTCCTGCTGGGCGAGGTGCACTGCGGCACCAACGTGCGCCGCAAGCCCTTCGCCTTCAAGTGGTGGCACATGGTGCCCTGAGGTGGCTCCGGCCCCGCCGTGTCCCCTCCTGTCCCCGTCCTGTCCCTGCCAAGTGCCTTCGGTGGCGGAAATAAATCCGGGCTGCGGCCACGGGGGCTCTGCAGGGCTCTCCTGGCACTGGGAGAACACTGGACTGGTTGAACTGGTGGGGAATGGGGTGGGGCTCTGGAGCCACTGTCCCCGTGCCAAAATCCACGTGGGTTCAGGGAATTATGGAATAATGGAATAATGGAGTCATGGGATGGTTGGGATGGAGGGACCTTCAAGCTAATCCATTCTCAGGGGCAGGGACACCTCCCACTGTCCAGGTGGCTCCAAGCCCCAATGTCCAGCCTGGCCTTGGGCACTGCCAGGGATCCAGGGGCAGCCACAGCTGCTCTGGGAATTCCATCCCAGCCCCTTCCCACCCTCACAGTGAAAGATTTATCCCAAACATCCCAATACAAATTGTCCCCCTTTAGTTTGAAGCCATTCCCTGTGTCCTGTCCCTCCATCCCTTGTCCCCAGTCCCTTTCCTGGAGTCATTTCAGGCCCTGGAAGGGCTCTGAGCTCTCCAGGTGAACATTCCCAGCTCTCCCAGCAGAGCTGCTCCATCCCCTGATCCCCCTGGAGCCTCCTCTGGGCTGGCTCCAGCAGCTCCAGCTGCTCCCTGGGCTGGCCCAGGGCTGGGGGGCAGAGTCCCCCTCCCCTGCTCATTCCCATTCCCACTCCCATTTCCAGCTCATTCCCACAATTTGCCTCATTCCCATTCCCAATCCCTGCTCATTACCATCCCATTTGCATTCCCATCCCACCCTGGGATCCACCCCTGTCCGAGCAGGATCTGGACGGGACCATGGCCGTGTCTGAGCCGTGCTGGAATTCCAGAGGGATGGAATCTGCAACCATTCCCTGGAGCGATCCCACACAGGGACAGGAACCTCTGCTCCCAGAGCTGTGTCCCTAAAGGATTCCAGAGGGAAAACGGGACAGGACCCCCTGATCCCAGAGCTGTGTCCCTAAAGGATTCCAGAGGGAAAACGGGACAGGACCCCCTGATCCCAGAGCTGTGTCCCTAAAGGATTCCAGAGGGAAAATGGGACAGGAACCCCTGATCCCAGAGCTGTGTCCCTGTGGAATTCCAGAGGGAAAACGGGACAGAAATCCCTGATCCCAGAGCTGTGTCCCTGTGGAATTCCAGAGGGAAAACGGGACAGAAATCCCTGATCCCAGAGCTGTGTCCCTGTGGAATTCCAGAGGGAAAACGGGACAGAAATCCCTGACCACAGAGCAACATCCCTGAGGAATTCCTTGAAGAAGAAAAAAAAATAAAATTGAATATTGAAAAATGAAGAAGAAAAGATGCCAAAAATCAGGGACTGAAAGTGGAAAATGGGAATTTTTGAACTCCAAACAATGGAAGCCGAGGAATACAAAAATTCCGGGATCCTACCCCAGCCCCTCCTGGAGCCTTCCTGAGCTGGGAATTCCTCGGGAATGTGGGAATGGCCCCTTGGGAATGCAGGAATGGCCCCTCTGGATCCTTCCTGAACTCGAGAATTCCCCAGGAATGCAGGAATGGCCCTCTGGATCCATCCCAAACTTTGAAATTCCTCGGGAATGACCCCTTGGGAATGCAGGAATGACCATCCTGGATCCTTCCCGAACCTGGGAATTCCTCGGGAATGTGGGAATGGCCCCTCTGGAATGTGGGAACAGCCCCCCCACAGCTTTTGGGGCTCCAAGTGGGGTTTTGGGGATTCCCCACCCCCAAATCCTAAACACTGCTAAAAAAGCGGGATTTGGGAATTTCCCCCCTGCTGGGATCTCTCCAAACCCCCTGGAAAACAACCCCCCATCCCAAAAATTGACCAAAACCCATTTATTTTTTACTGCAAACTCCCCGAGCGCCGCCCCGGGGGAGATGGGAAGGAGCAAAAATCCATGGAAAAATCCAGGAGAATCCCTAAAAACGGCCCGAAGGGAGCGGGAATGGCGCGGGGCAGAGGCGGGCTCTGCTCCTGAAGGCACCTCGAGATTCCAGCACAGTGACCTGGCACGGAGGGAACTGGGAATGCGGGAATTCCGGCTGATCCCGGGCCAAACCATCCGCCAGAAGGAAAAAACTCCGAATTCCCGGGAAAAAAATTCCTTTGGGACTCCCCTCGTGATCCCTGAGATGTCCCCGGGGTGGGCGAGGGCGGGGAGCCTGGGAATGCTGCTGGGATGGGATCCAGGAATGCTGCTGGGATGGGATCTGGGATCCCTGCGGATGCTGGAGGGGTGGGAGGGGGAAATCCCGAAAACTGTAGCACCCAGAGTAGGGAAAACCAGCAAAAAAATGGGAATGCTGGGGGGAAAAAATGGGAATATAGGGGGAAAACCAGGCATTGGCAGCTGCTCTTTAGGGATCCCAGATCCCTAAAGGGATCCCAAGCCGGGATCAGATCCCCAAAGTGATCCCGAGCCGGCAGCTGTGGAGATCCAGGGCTGGAAAAATGGGAAACAGTAAAAAAAAGCTGCTGAAAAATACAAATAAAATAAAAAATAACTCAAGGGCAGACCCTACAAAACCCGGGGCGGGACGTGCCGGAAGGCCCGGCTGTGGTCGGGAATTCCAAAAGCCGGGAATGGGGGTGGGAATGACCCCCCCGAGGGCTGGGAGTGCGGGAAGGGGGAGGGAGCACGGCGGCCGGGATGGAGAAGCGGGATTGGGATCGGGATCGGGATCGGGGCCCCTCAGAGGGTGCGGGGGTTGTACTCCGGCAGCTTCCGCAGCTTCTCCTGCTCCGCCTCCGACTCGTCCCGGGCGATCACCAGGGAGTGGGAATAGCCCATGGCCACCTGGAATGGGAACGGGAATGGGTCAGTTGGGAGTGGGAATAGCCCATGGCCACCTGGAATGGGAATGGGAACTGGTGAGCTGGGAGTGGGAATAGCCCGTGGCCACCTGGAATGGGAATGGGAACTGGTGAGCTGGGAGTGGGAATAGCCTGTGGCCACCTGGAATGGGAACAGTAATGGGTCAGTTGGGAATAGCCCATGGCCACATGGAATGGGAATGGGCCAGCTGGAACAGGAATAGGTCAGCTGGGAGTGGGAATGCCCATGGAAAAGGGAACGGGGAGCTGAGGGGATCTGGAGCCTTCCTCGGGATCCCTCCTGGGGATCCTCCCACCTGCTGGGATCCAGGCTGGGCTGGAGCATCCCAAGGGAGTTCAGGGAAGGGCCCTGCACCCCCTGCAGGGCACCCATGGGTGTCACGAGCTGGGCACGGCCTCAGCCCCGGGATTTGTCCTCCCACATCACCCATGGGTGTCACGGGAAGCACAGCCTCAGTGTCCCTGTTTATTTTTGGGAATGGATCCCAGTGTCACGGGCTGGCACAGCCTCAGTGTCCCTGGTTATTTTAGGGAATGGACCCTGGTGTCATGAGTTGTGTGTGGCCTCAGCCCCTGGGTGTATTTAAAGGGGGACTCATGCACATCACCCATGGGTGTCCTGGGCCGTGTCTGGCCTCAGTTTCCCTGTTTGTTTTAGGGGAGGGCCCCATGGATGTGATGAGCTGTGCACAGCCTCAGTTTCCCCGTTTATTTTAGGGAGCAGCCCCTGGTGCCCTCCCTCCACCACCCCACAGGTGTGATGAGCTGTGTACAGCCTCTGCTGCCCTGTTTATTTTAGGGGAGGGGCCCCATGGGTGTCACGAGCTGGGCACGGCCTCAGTTTCCCTGTTTATTGTTTCCCTGTTTGTTTTAGGGAACAGCTCCATGTGCCCTCTCCATGACCCCATGGATGTGATGAGCTGTGCACAGCCTCAGTTTCCCCGTTTATTTTAGGGAGCAGCCCCTGGTGCCCTCCCTCCATCACCCCACAGGTGTGATGAGCTGTGTACAGCCTCTGCTGCCCTGTTTATTTTAGGGGAGGGGCCCCATGGGTGTCACGAGCTGGGCACGGCCTCAGTTTCCCTGTTTATTTTAGGGAACAGCTCCAGGCGCCCTCTCCATGACCCCATGGATGCGATGAGTTGGGCACAGCCTCAGTTTCCCTGTTTATTTTAGGGAATGGCCTCAGTTTCCCTGATTATTTTAGGGAATGGCCCCACGTGACCCCTCTCCATCACCCCACGGGTGTCACGAGCTGGGCACGGCCTCAGCCCCTGGGTTTGCCTAAGGGGAGGGTCCCCCCTCCCTCAGCCCAGGGCTGTGACGAGCTGCGTGAGGTCTCAGCCACCCCAAATTATTTTAGGGTAGGGCCATAGGTGCCCTCTCCCTCACCCCACAGGTGTGATGAGTTGCACAAGGCCTGAGCCCCCCCATTTATTTTGGGAACAGCCCCCTGTGCCCCTCCCTCACCCCAGGGGTCTGATGAGCAGGGCACGGCCTCAGACACCCCAAATTATTTCAGGGCATCGCCCCTGGTGCCCTGCCCCTGCTGCCCCACAGGGGTGATGAGCTCTGCACAGCCTCAGGGTCCCCACTCATTTTAGGGGAATCCAGGTGCTCCTCCCTCACCCCACAGCTGTCACGAGCTCTGCACAGCCTCAGCCACCCCAAATTATTTTAGGGAATGGCACCCTGGATCCTCCCTCCATCACCCCACGGGTGCCAGGAGTTGTGGGGGCCTCAGCCCCCCTTTTATTTTTGGGGATCCAGGTGTCCCTCCCTCACCCTGCAGCTGTGGTGAGCTGTGTATGGCCTCAGTGTCCCTGTTTATCCCACGGGATGGCCCCATATCCACCACAGGGCCTCCCACCCTGTTCATTTTAGGGAAGGGCCCCTGGTGTCCCCCTGCATCACCCCACAGGTGTGATGGGCTGTGCAGAGCCTCAGCCACCCCAAACTATTTAAGGGAAATGCAGGTGCCCCTCTCCACCACCCCACAGGTGTGATGGGCTGGGCACAGCCTCGGTGTCCCCGTTCATTTTAGGGGAAGGGCCCCACAGGTGTGATGGGCTGGGCACGGCCTCAGCCACCCCAAATGATTCCCCGTATGTCCCCCATCACCCCACAGGTGGGATGAGCCCCCCTGTGCATCCCCCACCCCAAGCCCTGTGGGGTCCCCCTCACCTGCTCGGTGTAGATCCCATCCAGGGTTTTCACCTCCTGCGCCGCCGTGGACGATTTGGGTTTGTGGTCCCCATATCCCTGTGGGAACATCCCATGGACAGGGAACGCTCAGTGGGGTTTGGGGTGTCCCTTTGGGGGATTTGGGTTTGTGGTCCCCATATCCCTGTGGGAACATCCCATGGACAGGGAACGCTCAGTGAGGCCAGAGGGGCCGGGCCCCGGGGTTTGGGGGATTTGGGGTGTCATTTGGGGTTTTTGGGATGCTCTTTGGGGTTTTATTCAGTACCAGCTCGCCAAAAGTGGGCAAGAGCCCCCAGCTGATGAGGATTTTGGGGTGTCAGTTTGGGGCATTTGGAGTTTTGTTTGGGGCATTTGGGGTTTTTGGGGTGTCATATGGGGTTTTATTTGGGGTGTCATTTGGGGTTTTTGGGATGCTCTTTGGGGTGTTGTTCAGTACCAGCTCCCCGAAGGTGGGTGAAGGCCCCCAGCTGATGGTGGGTTTGGGGTGTCAGTTTGGGGCATTTGGGGTTTTATTTGGGGTGTCATTTGGGGTTTTTGGGATGCTCTTTGGGGTTTTATTTGGGGTGTTGCTCAGTACCAGCTCCCCGAAGGTGGGCGAGGGCCCCCAGCTGATGGTGCTCTCGTCGGCCGCCACGATGACGGAGCTCTTCCTGCAAGGGAGGCAATCCCTGATCCCCGAGTGTCCCAGCACCCCAAATCCCGGGATGGGGTGGGAATTCCCGGGGCTGCACTCACTCACCCGCAGGCCAGGCTGCGGATCTTCCACCCGCACAGGTCCTGCACGGCCTTGGGGTACATGGTGGACTCCCGGGAGGTGTTGGTGGCGCCCCAGAAGAACAATCCACCTGCAAGGGAGCCTGTCAGGGCCTGGATCCCGGAATTCCCAAATCCCGGAATTCCCAAATCCTGGGAATCCCACCTGTCAGGGATCCCAGGAATCCCACCTGTCAGGGCACGAATCCCGGAATTCCCCATCCTGGGAATCCCACCTGTAAGGGCACGAATCCCGGAATTCCCCATCCTGGGAATCCCACCTGTAAGGGCATGGATCCCAGAATTCCCAAATCCCAGGAATCCCACCTGTCAGGGCATGGATCCCAGAATTCCCAAATCCCAGGAATCCCACCTGTCAGGACATGGATCCCAGAATTCCCAAATCCCGGATCCATGGGAATCCCACCTGTCAGGGCACGAAACCTGGAATTCCCCATCCTGGGAATCCCACCTGTCAGGGCATGGATCCCCCGGAATTCCCGATTGTGGGAACCCCACCTGTCAGGGCATGGATCCCAAAATTCCTCATCCTGGGAATCCCACCTGTCAGGGCATGGATCCCCCGGAATTCCCGATCCTGGGAACCCCACCTGTCAGGGCGTGGGTCCCAGAATTCCCAAATCCTGGGAATTCCAACTGTCGGGGCACAGAGTCCCCGGGATTCCCAATGCTGGGAATCCCACCTGTTGGGTAACAGCTTCCCCCAGATTTCCCAAATCCCGGGATCCTTGGGATCCCAGCTGTCAGGCCACGGCTCCCTGAGAATTCCCAGATCCCGGGATCCCAAGATTCCCCCCTGTCTCGGCTCTCCTGCAGCATTCCCAAATCCCACCTGTCAGGCCAGAGCTCCCCCAGCATTCCCAGACCTCAAGATCCTGGGAATCCCACAGCCTGCCCAGCATTCCCAAATCCTGGGATCCTGGGAATCCCACCTCTCCCACTGACAGCTGTCCCCCAGCATTCCCAAATCCCAGATCCCGAATTCCCACCTGTCCTGCTGCCATCTCCCCCAGCATTCCCAAATCCCAGATCCTCAATTCCCACCTGTCCTGCTGCCATCCCTCCGTGACATTCCCAGCATTCCCAAATCCCAGACCTGCATTCCCACCTGCCCTGCTGCCATCCCCCCGGCATTCCCGGCATTCCCGAATCCCGTGCCCACCTGTCCCGCTGCCACCCCCCCGGCATTCCCGGCATTCCCGAATCCCGAATCCCACCTGTCCCGCTGCCACCCCCCCGGCATTCCCGGCATTCCCGAATCCCGTGCCCACCTGTCTCGCTGACGGCGAAGGAGCAGGTGTATCCCGCGTAGATCTGGGCGGCGCCGCGTCCCGGGAAGTCGAAGAGCTTCACCAGCCTGGGAACCATCTCGTCCTTCTGCTCCGCGTGGCCCAGGCGCCCGTAGCCCCCAAAGCCCCAGGAGAACACGCGCTTCTGGGAATCCAGCACCAGCTGGGATGGGAAAACAGCCTCAGAGACCCCAAATCCCAAACCCCAAATCCCAGAACACGCGCTTCTGGGAATCCAGCACCAGCTGGGACGGGAAAACAGCCTCAGAGATCCCAAATCCCAAATCCCAGAACACGCGCTTCTGGGAATCCAGCACCAGCTGGGATGGGAAAACAGCCTCAGAGATCCCAAATCCCAAACCCCAAATCCCAGGAGAACACGCGCTTCTGGGAATCCAGCACCAGCTGGGATGGGAAAACAGCCTCAGAGATCCCAAATCCCAAACCCCAGGAAAAGATGCACTTCTGGGAATGCAGCCCCGGCAGGGATGGGGGGAGCAGAGGCTGAGAGCTGGTGTCTCCCATTCCCGGCCATTCCCCTTTTCCCATTCCCATTCCTGCTCTCTCATTCCCATTACCCACTCTCCCATTCCTGCACCCATTCCCATTCCTGATCCCGTATTCCCATTCCCGATCCCATCCCGTACCGTGTGGTTGGCCCCGCAGGCCACATCCCTGATCCATTCCCATTATTCCGATCCCATATTCCCATGTCCTGTACTGTGTGGTTAGCCCCACAGGCCATGCCCCTGACCCATTCCCATTATCCTGATCCCATATTCCCAACCACGTATTCCCATTATCCCATACTCCCGTGTCCCATACCGCGTGGCTGGCCCCACAGACCCCATCCCTGACCCATTCCCGTTATCCCGATCCCATTATCCCACATTCCCATATACCCATGTCTTGTACCGGGTCGTTGGCCCCCAGGCTATGCCCCGACCGATATTTCATTATCCTGATCCCATATTCCCATTATCCCGTGTCCCGTGTTCTGTACCGTGTGGTTGGCCCCGCAGGCCCCGTCCCTGACCCGTTCCTCTTATCCCGATCCCATTATCCCACATTCCCATATACCCATGTCTTGTACCGGGTCGGTGGCCCCCAGGCTATGCCCCGACCGATATTTCGTTATCCTGATCCCATACTCCCATTATCCCATATTCCCGTGTCCCGTACCGTGTGGCTGGCCCCGCAGGCCCCATCCCTGACCCGTTCCCGTTACCCCAATCCCATATTCCCGTATTCCCGTGTCCTGTACCGTGTGGTTGGCCCTGCAGGCCCCATCCCTGACCCGTTCCCGTTACCCCAATCCCATATTCCCGTATTCCCGTGCCCCGTACCGTGTGGTTGGCCCCGCAGGCCCCGTCCCTGACCTGTTCCCGTTATCCCATATTCCCATATTCCCGTGCCCCGTACCGTGTGGTTGGCCCCGCAGGCCCCGTCCCTGACCTGTTCCCGTTATCCCATATTCCCATATTCCCGTGCCCCGTACCGTGTGGTTGGCCCCGCAGGCCCCGTCCCTGACCTGTTCCCGTTATCCCATATTCCCATATTCCCGTGCCCCGTACCGTGTGGTTGGCCCCGCAGGCCACGTCCCTGACCACGACGTTGGGCACGGGCAGCACCTGCCCGTCCTTGGTGCGCTCCACGAAGAGCGCCACGCGCCGCGGCAGCAGCTCGCAGTCGTACTCGATGCGCTGCGCCCGCGCGATGAACTTCCCATCGGAATTGTGGCCTGAAATGGGAACGGGGCATCCTGCGGGGTCAGCCCGAACCGCCCCGTCCTGTGGGGTCATCCTGAACTGCCCCAATCCCGTGGGATCATCCTGAACTGCCCCGACCCCCCAGCATGATCCCGAACTTCCCCAATCCCATGGGATCATCCTGAACTGCCCCAATCCCATGGGATCATCCTGAACTGCCCCAGTCCCATGGGATCATCCTGAACTGCCCCAGTCCCATGGGATCATCCTGAACTGCTCCTGTCCCATGGGATCATCCTGAACTGCTCCTGTCCCATGGGATCATCCTGAACTGCTCCTGTCCCGTGGAATAATCCTGAACTGCCCCAATCCCATGGGATCATCCTGAACTGCCCCATCCCGTGCGATCATCCTAAACTGCCCTGATCCTGTGGAGTGATCCCAAACTGCTCCTGTCCCATGGGATCATCCTGAACTGCCCCGACCCCCCAGCATGATCAAGAACTGCCCCTGTCCCATGGGATCATCCTGAACTGCCCCAATCCCATGGGATCATCCTGAACTGCTCCTGTCCCATGGGATCATCCTGAACTGCCCCAATCCTGTGGGGTGATCCCGAACTGCCCCAATCCCATGGGATCATCCTGAACCGCCCCGATCCTGTGGGGTGATCCCAAACTGCCCCTGTCCCATGGGATCATCCTGAACTGCCTCAATCCCATGGGATCATCCAGAAAAATGGGATCAGAAAAATCGGGAAAAATGGGGATCAGAAATGCAGGAAAGGCCAGAAAAATGGGATCAGAAAAACTGGGAAAAATGGGGAATTTCCGTGGGAAATCCCTGATTGGCAGGAAAAATGGGACCAAGGACATGGGAAGAGCAGGTAAAAAGGGATCAGGAAAACACGGGAAAAGCAGGAAAAATAGGATTGGAGAAATGTGGGAAAGGGGAAAAGAGGGGAATTTCTATGGGAAATCCCTGATCTGTGGGAAAAGCAGGAAAAACAGGATTGAAAAAAACACAGGAAAAGCAGGAAAAACCAGATCAAAAAACCAGATCAAAAATGGGGAATTTCTATGGGAATCTGTGATCTGTGGGAAAAGCAAAAAAATTAGGATTGAAAAAATTTAAGAAAAGAGGAAAAAGGGGAATTTTTGTCACTGGAAGCCCCCAAATGCCCAGATTTCCCCCCAATTTGGGGTTTGGGGTCCGTACCTGGGTGGGGCTGGGCACGGCGTCCGTCTGGTTCCCCAGCCCCAGCTGGCCCAGCTTGTTCTCCCCAAAGGCGAACACCGAGCCGCTCTCTGCAGGGAAAACGGGAATTTTGGGGGGAAACGGGAATTTTGGGGGGAAAACGGGGGTTTTGGGACCGTTCTCCCAGAATTCGGGGGCAAAGGGGGCAGATTTGGGGGAAAAAGGGGCAGATTTTGAAGGAAATGGGGTGGATTTGGGGGCAAAAGGGGAGGACTTTGGGGCAGTTTTCCCAGAATTTGGGGCAAAAGGGGCAGATTTAGGGGCAGTTTTCCTGGATTTTGGGGGTGAAAGGGGTGGATTTGGCACAGCTTTCCCGGGATCAGGGCAGTTTCCTGGGATGGGGCTGTTTTGCAGGATCAGGCCATTTCCCGAGACTCAGTGCAGTTTCCCAGGATCCAGGGCTGTTTCCCAGGACCAGCCCCGTGTCCCAGGATCCAGGGCCATTTCCCGGGATCAGCATGTCCCGGGATCTGGCATGTCCCGGGATCTGGCGTGTCCCGGGATCAGTCCCATTTCCCAGGATCAGCCCCGTTTCCCAAGATTCAGCCCCATGTCCCGGGATCAGCCCCGTGTCCCGGGATCAGCCCCGTGTCCCGGTATCCAGCCCCGTGCCCCGGGAACGGCCTGTTTCCCAGGATCAGCCCCGTGTCCCAGGATCCAGAGCCATTTCCTGGGATCCAGCCCCGTGTCCTGTCTCTCCACCCTGTGTCCCGGTATCCATCTCGTGTCCCCGGGATTATCCCGTGTCCCAGGATCCTGCCCCATGTCCCGGGATCCGCCCCGTGTCCCGGGATCTGCCCCGTGTCCCCGGTGTCCATCCCGTGTCCCAGGATCCATCCCGTGTCCCGGTGTCCATCCCGTGTCCCGGTGTCCATCCCGTGTCCCCGTGTCCCGGTGTCCATCCCGTGTCCCGGTGTCCGTCCCGTGTCCCGGTGTCCGTCCCGTGTCCCGGTGTCCATCCCGTGTCCCGGTGTCCATCCCTGTCCCGTCTCTCCGCACCGGTCAGGGCCAGGGTGTGGTTCCTGCCGCAGGCGGCCGCCACGATGGCCTCGCTGCCCAGGGCCTCGGTCCATCCCGTGTCCCCGTGTCCATCCCGTGTCCCCGTGTCCATCCCTGTCCCGGTGTCCATCCCGTGTCCCTGTGTCCGTCCCGTGTCCCTGTGTCCATCCCGTGTCCCCGTGTCCATCCCTGTCCCGTCTCTCCGCACCGGTCAGGGCCAGGGTGTGGTTCCTGCCGCAGGCGGCCGCCACGATGGCCTCGCTGCCCAGGGCCTCGATCGGCCGCGGCGCCTCCACGCGCTTCGTGTCGCCGTGGCCCAGCTGCCCCTTCTCGTTCCGCCCTGCGGATCCCAAAAACCCCGGGGTCACAGGGGCTCACTGCCGATCCCAGAATCCCAGCGGGTCCCGCTGATCCCGTTATCCCAGGGGTTCCATCTGATCCCGTTATCCCAGGGGTTCCATCTGATCCCGCTATCCCAGGGGTTCCATCTGATCCCGCTATCCCAGGGCTTCCCAATGACCCCACTCTCTGGGGGAGTTCCTGGGAAGGATCCCACTATCCTACAGGGGTTCCCAGGATGGATCCCATTATCCCAGTTTGGCTCCCAGGTGGATCTCAGGAAACATTTGGCTGACGCCATTATCCCAGGGGGAGTTCCTGGGATGGATCCCACTCTCCCAGTTTGGTTTCCTGGATGGATCCCACTATCCCAGCCCAGTTCCTGGGATGGATCCCGCTCTCCTGGGGATGTTACTGGGATGGATCCCGCTCTCCCGGGGGGGTTCCCGGGATGGATCCCGCTCTCCCAGCTGGTTCCCGGGATGGATCCCGCTCTCCCAGGGGGGTTCCCGGAATGGATCCCGCTCTCCCGGGGGTGTTCCCGGGATGGATCCTACTATCCCACAGGGGTTCCCCAGCTGACCCCATTATCCCAGGGGGAGTTCCCAGGATGGATCCCGCTCTCCCAGCTGGTTCCCGGGATGGATCCCGCTCTCCCAGCAGGTTCCCGCAATGGATCCCGCTCTCCCAGGGGGGTTCCCGGGATGGATCCCGCTCTCCCAGGGGGGTTCCCAGGATGGATCCCGCTCTCCCGGGGGGGTTCCCGGGATGGATCCCGCTCTCCCGGGGGCGTTCCCGCAATGGATCCCGCTCTCCCAGCTGGTTCCCAGGATGGATCCCACTCTCCCAACGGGGTTCCCGGGATGGATCCCGCTCTCCCAGGGGGGTTCCCAGGATGGATCCCGCTCTCCCGGGGGGGTTCCCGGGATGGATCCCGCTCTCCCAACGGGGTTCCCGGGATGGATCCCGCTCTCCCGGGGGCGTTCCCGCAATGGATCCCGCTCTCCCAGCTGGTTCCCAGGATGGATCCCACTCTCCCAACGGGGTTCCCGGGATGGATCCCGCTCTCCCAGCTGCTTCCCGGGATGGATCCCGCTCTCCTGGGGGGGTTCCCGGGATGGATCCCGCTCTCCCAGGGAGGTTCCCGGGATGGATCCCGCTCTCCTGGGGGGGTTCCCGGGATGGATCCCGCTCTCCCAACGGGGTTCCCGGGATGGATCCCGCTCTCCCAGCGGGTTCCCGGGATGGATTCCGCTCTCCCAGGCGGGTTCCTGGGATGGATCCTGCTCTCCCAGCGGGTTCCCGGGATGGATCCCGCTCTCCCAACGGGGTTCCCGGGATGGATCCTGCTCACCCCAGCTCCAGAGCTTGCCCTCGGCCGTGATCAGCAGGCTGTGGGCGGCGCAGGGCCCCGACACCACCGAGCGCACGCGCAGCCCCCCCAGGCTCCCGTAGCGGTGAGGCCCCCACAGGTTCTGGCCCAGGTTCCGGTACGCCGCTGGAAAACACCGGGAACGAGCGCGGGGTCAGCACCGGGAAACGCGGCTGGGAACGGAACGGGCTGGGAAAAGCAGCCGGGAAAAGAACAATCCGGGAAAAGAGTACGGGAGATCAGCCAGGAAAATCATCCAAAAAATCATCTCGGAAAACCCGGGAAAATAATCTGAAAAAACCAGCCAGGAAAATCATCTGGGAATACCGGGAAAATAATCCCGGAAAATCCAAAAAAATTCAGGAAAATGATACGGGAAAATCTGGGAAAATTATCGAGGAAAATCCAGGAAAATAATCTGGAAAACTCTGGGAAAATCGGCCAGGAAAATCATCTGGGAATACCAGGAAAATAATCCAGGAAAATCCAAAAAAATTCAGGAAAATGATACGGGAAAATCTGGGAAAATTATCGAGGAAAATCCAGGAAAATAAGATGGAAAAATCTGGGAAAATCAGCCAGGAAAATCATCTGGGAATACCGGGAAAATAATCCGGGAAAATACAGAAAAATTCAGTAAAATGATACGGGAAAATCATCTAGGAAAATCCACGAAATTTCGGGAAAATAATCCAGGAAAATCTAGGAAAATCAACCAGGAAAATCATCCTGGAAAATCACCTGGGAAATCTGGGAATACTGGGAAAACAATCCAGGAAAATCCAGGAAAACAATCCAGGAAAATGATCCGGGATTCCGCGGGGCAGGGGCTGAGGGCGGATTTGGGAAATGGGGACCCACAACCAGGGCTGGGGCACCCCAAACCTGCCCCAATGAGCGTGTCCAGCCCTGGCTGCTGCCCCAATTAACGAGTTATTAATTAATGAAGCAGTGCCACTGAGAGCAGGAGCATTAATGAACTTTCCATGCATCCCTAATAAGCAGAGGCTCCGCAGCAGAGCTGGTGCCCCCAAATTCTGGCCCAAATTAAAACCTAAAACTGTAACTCCTCCTCTAGCTCGTTAATTTTAAGCATTAATTAATGTAAATACTAATTTTTAATATTAATTAAATATATCCCCTAAAAAGAAGGAGATAATTAATGAACTAAAATTGAAGCAGAGGCTTAATTTGGGTTTGAAGCAAAGCTGGTACCCCTCAAACCTGCCCCAATTAAGGGGTGCAACTGTGGCTCCTCCCCCAGTAATTAATGAAAATAATTAATTAGAAATAGATAAAAATAATCAGTGCACCCCAAATTCTGGCCAGAGTACGAGATGCCACTCCAGGTCATTAATTACAAATTAACACCAATTAATCGCACTGCCACTAATGAGGGCCCTGCTCTGCCCCAATACATAATTAATAGCAATAATCACCCCTTAATGAGGCCTTACCTTGCCCCAAAACCTTCATTGATTACTAATTAATACCAATTAATCACAGCCATTAACAAGCTGCAATCCTGTCCCAAAACATTAATTAATTAATAATTAATACAAATTAATTTATAGACATTAGTGAGCCCCTATCCTGCCCCAAACCCTTCATTGATTACTAATTAATACCAATTAATTAATCAGCTATTAGGGACCTCTACCCTATCCCAAAACCTTAATTAATTACTAATTAACCTCAAATCAATACCAATTAATCACAGCCATTAATAAGCCCCTACCCTGCCCCAAACCATTCATTGATTACTAATTAATACTAACTAATTAATGAGCCATTAATGAGCCCCTACCCTGCCCCAAAGCATTAATTACTAATTAACAGCAGGTAATTAAGCAGCCCTACCCTGCCCCATGTGGTTCATTAATGACTAATTAACCAGTTAATTAGCCAGCCCTACCCTGCCCCACATGGTTCATTAATGACTAATTAACCAGCTAATTAGCAGCCCTACCCTGCTGCTTGGGCACCTCCTTGCGGCCGATCAGGTCCCAGTTGGTGGCACCGAAGATCAGGAGCTGCCCCCGGCTCTTGGAGCCCTCGAGCTTCTGGGGGGACACGGGGACATCAGGGACATGGTCAAGGACATGGGGGGACACAGGGACATGGTAGGATATGGAGGACTTCGGGGGTGAGGGGGATACTGGGGACATTGTGGGATATTGGGGACACAGGGGACATTGTGGGACATCGGGGATGTGGGGGACATGGGGGAGACTTGGGGACATTGTGGGGGACATTGGGGACATCAGGGATGCGGGGACCTGGGGGCATCAGGGCTGTGGAGATCATCAGGGATGTGGGGAACATGGGGACATCGTGGGACACTGGGGATTTGAGGGACACAGGACATCGGGGATGGGACATGGGATGGGAGGGACACAGGACATCGGGGACATTGGGGATGGGACATGGGACATCGGGGACATCAGGAAGGGGGGGAAGATGTGCAGAATGTGAGGGACCTTGGGGTCATCTGGGACAGGGATGTAGGGACAGGAGGAGCAGCAGGGATAGGGAGGACATGGGGGACATTGGGACTGTGGGGGACACAGGGGACATGGCATTGTGGGGGACACAGGGGACATGGCATTGTGGGGGATTTGGGGCTGTGGGGGACACTGGGGACAGCAGGGACATGGGGGCAATGACGGGGTGCTGGAAGGGCTGCAGTGGGGCAGGATGGGGGTCAGGGGGTGCAGTGGAGTTTGGGGTGCAATGGGCTGGAATTTGGGGCGCAATGGGGCGGGATGGGGGTCAGGGGGCGCAGTGGGGCTTGGGGTGTATTAGGGGTGGAACAGTAGGTACAAGGCGCTACGGTGAGGGTGTGTAACGGGGACACAGTGGGGACACTGGGGTGTGCAATGGGGCACAGTGGGGGTGTGCAATGGGGCACAGTAGGCGCACAGTGGGGGTGTCTCATGGGGCACAATGGGGGCACAGTAGGGGTGTGTAATGGGGGACACTAGAGGCACAGTGGGGGTGTCTGATGGGGCACAGTAGGTCCAAGGGGTACAGTGGGGGTGTGTAATAGAGCACAGTAGGGGCACAGTGGGTATGTGCAGTGGGGCACAATAGGGGCACAGTGCGGGTGTCTCATGGGGCACAGTGGGGGCACAGTGGGGGTGTCTCATGGGGCACAATGCGTCCCAGGGCGGCCCCGCCGCCTTCCTGCGGGGCATGGCTGCGGGGCCGCGTCAGCCGCCGCACCGGCAGCGACACACAGACAGACAGACACCGACACACAGACAGACAGACACCCCCAGACAGACATAGACACACACCGGGACACGCGGTGAGGGGAGATGGGGACACAGTGAGGGGAAATGGGGACAGAGGGGGAAGTGGGGGATGTGGGGTGAGGGGGGACAGTGAGGGCAGATGGGGACAGAGGGAAATGGGGGATGCGGGGGATAAGGGACAGAGTGAGGGGAAATGGGGACAGAGAAGGAGCTGCTGTGGGGAGAGCGCAGAGGGGGGTGAGAGGGGACACGGGGTGAGGGGACATGGGGGAACAGGGGTGAGGGAAAATGGGGGACAAGGGTTGAGGGGAGAAGAGGGATCTGGGCATGATGGGGTGAGGGGACATAGGAGATTTGGGGGACGGGGGTGAGGGGACATGGGAGATTTGGGGGACATGGGTGAGGGGACATAGGAGATTTGGGGGACATGGGTGAGGGGAGATGAGCAGGATATGAGGGGAGACAGGATGGGGGCAGAAAGGGGAGAACCCCATGAGTGGGACATGGAGGGGCTGCAGGGGGACAAGGGGGACACGGTGTGGGCACAGAAGGGACCCCAGCGGGAGGGGAAAAGGGGGATACGCGATGAGGGGAAAAGGGGACCCAGTGGTGGCCATGGGGGGATAAACAATGGGACCCCCGGTGAGGGGGACAGAGCAGGGACATAGCAGAGAAATGGGGGACCCCCTGTGGGGGCGATATGGGGGACCCTGGTTGGGGACAGAGAGGGGCACATGGGGAGACCCCCAGTGTGGGGAAACTGGGGGGATGTGGGGGACATGGGTGACCCCAGTGAGGGGACATGAGGGGTCTGGGGGGACATGGGGACAAGGGTGACCCCAGTGAGGGGACATGAGGGCTTTGGGGGGACATGGGGACACGGGTGAACCCCAGCTAGGAGATTTGGGGGACACTGGATGGGGAAAAGTACGGGATCTGGGGGACATGGGATGGGACAAATGGGATTTGGGGACACGGGAAAGGGAAAACGGGGGGGTTTGGGGGACATGGGGCGAGGGCACATGGGGGGATTTGGGGGACACGGGATGGGGGAGAGGGGGGAGAGAGGGGACCCCCGGGCTGGGGGGGGAGGAGGGGGCTGGAAATGGGGTCAGGAAGAGGGACTGGAAAAGGGGTCAGGGAGAGAGGGAGCAGGAAAAGGGGTCGAGAGAAGGGGGTCTGGAAAAGGGGGGTTTAAATGGGGGCACACGGGGGTCGCGGGGAGATTTGGGGGTGCACAGGAGGATCTCGGGGCTTTCGGGGTGCCGGGGGTTCCCAAAGGGGATTCGGGGCAGGAAAAGGGCCCGGAGACAAAGGGGATCGCGGGGCAAAGGGAGCACCGGGGGGAATTCGGGGTCCCCCTCCTTTATCCCCACCTCAAGCCGCCCGGAACCCCCAAAACCCCAAAGCCCGGCGCTCTCGGGGCGCTGCCGCTGGATTTTGGGGTGGGGGCGATTTTGTGGCCTGGGGAGGGAGCAGGGCCCCCCCGGGGGTCTCCGCAGTGTCCATCCCCCCGCCCCCCCGCGTTCCCATTCCCAGATTTCCCTGGAACAATGGGATCTCTGTCTGCCCCCCTCGCACCACGTGGATCCGCCTTTTATCCCACTTTTTGAGCCCCCAATTCCAAACCTGATTTTAGGGCGAGAGGTGCAGCATAAAGAAAGCGGCGGCGCGGGGCCTTTGCACTATTTTTGGTGGCGGTTCCTGTTGCAGGAAAAGAAAAAAAAAAAAAAAAAAAAAAAAAAAGGTAATTTTTGGGGATTTTTTTCTCGCTTTTTTTTTTCCCCTCCTCCTCGGGTTGGTTGATTTTTTTTTTTTTTTTTTTCCCCTTCTCCCCCTTTTTTCTCTTTTCTCTTTTTCCTCCTCAAATCCCACCCACCGAATCCCCTGGAAGCCGGAGTGCGGGCGAGCGGGACAATACAAAACAGAACCACATGGATGGGCAGGAAAAGGGGCAAGGGAGAGGAGGCCGGATCCCGCGCGGCCGCGAGGGAGCGGCCCCGAGCCGAGCAGCTCCATCTTTAGGGCTGGAAGACTCCGGGCCGGCCCCGCAGCCCGGAGCCTCCCGCCCTCCGCACCCGCTGCGCTCTTGGGAAGGGGATGCGGGGCTTTAGGGTTTGGGATGGGGGGAATGGGATTTATTGATTTATTATTTTTTTTTTTCCTAGAGGAAAAGTGGGTGTAGGGTGTTGGTGGTAGGGGGTTAATGCGCGGATTCCATGGGGTGTGCTCCCCAAAAAATCCAAAGTGAACGGATTCTATGGGGTTCGTTCCTAGGAAATTATAAGTGTAAGTATTCCGTGGGGTTTGTTCCCGAGAAGTAATAAATGTAAGTATTCCGTGAGGTTTGTTCCCGAGAAATAATAAATGTAAGTATTCCGTGGGGTTTGTTCCCCCCAAAAAAAAAGGTAGAGATTCCATGGGGTTTGTTCCCAAAAATAATAAGTGTAAGTATTCCGTGGGGTTTGTTCCCAAAAAATAATAAATGTAAGTATTCCGTGGGGTTTGTTCCCCCCAAAAAAAAAGGTAGAGATTCCATGGGGTTTGTTCCCAAAAAATAATAAACGCACTGACTCCAAAGGGTTTGTTCCCCACAAAAAATAAATGCACGGATTCCATGGGTTGTGCTCCCAAAAATCATAAGTGCACAGATTCTATAGGATTCCCCCCCCCCTAAAAAAACGTAGAGATTCCGTGGGGTTTGTTCCCAAAAAATAATAAACGCACTGACTCCAAAGGGTTTGTTCCCCACAAAAAATAAATGCACAGATTCCATGGGGTCTGCTCCCAAAAATCATAAGTGCACAGATTCTATGGGGTTCGTTCCCAAGAAATAATAAATGTAAGTATTTAGTGGGATTAGTTAAAAAAAAATAATAAATGCACTGATTCCAAAGGGTTTGTTCCCCAAAAAATCATAAATAATAAATCCACAGATTCCAAAGGGTTTGTTCCCCCCAAAAAATAAATGTACAGATTCCATAGGGTTTGTTCCCAAAGAATAATAAATGCACGGATTCCAAAGGGTTTGTTCCCCAAAAAAATAATAAATAGTAAATTCCATAGGGTTTCTACCCCCAAAAATCATAAATAATAAATGCAGGGATTCCGTGGGGTTTGTTCCCCAAAAAAATCATATATGCATGGATTCCAAAGGGTTTGTTCCCAAAAAAAATTGTACAGATTCCAAAGGGTTTGTTCCCAAAAAGTCATAAATGTAGGGATTCCATAGGGTTTCCCACCAAAAAATAAATGTATATTTAGCCAAGGATTTTTTCCTCTCCAGAATTAAATCCAGTTATTCCAATGGATTACCCCCTCAAAAAACAAAAAAAATGAAACTCACTTATACCAATGGATTTTCCCCCCAAAATTAAATTCACTTATTACAAATAGATTTTACCCCCCAAAAAATAAATGCATATATTTCAAAGGGATTTTCCCCCCAAAATTAAATTCGCTTATTCCAAGGATTTTTATTCCCCAAAAATAAATCACATCTAACCAAGGATATTTCCCCCAAAACAAAAGCACATCTTGCAAATATTCCCCAAGAAATCCATTTATTGCCTTTATTCCAAAGGTTTTTCTCACTCCAAACAGAAATGTACACATTAAAAAGTGGATTTTCCCAGGAAATAAATGGAAATATTCTCTTTATTCCAGGTGGGGTTTTTTGCTCCCTCTCCTTATTCCAGGTTTTTTTTATAACCAGGAGAAAACGTCCTTGACAGCAAGGATGGGAATTTGTGGTGCCTTGGGAATTTGGGATAAATTTGAGATATTTCACTGGGATAAATTTGAGATTAAATTTGGCATAATTGGGATTAAATTTGGGATAATTGAGATAGATTTGGGATAGTTATTTCTCTAGGATAAATTGGGGATATTTGGGATAAATTTGGCATAGTTCACTGAGATAAATTTGGGATTAAATTTGGAAAATTTCAGATAGATATTTCTCTGGGGTAAATTTGGAATATTTCCCTAGGGTAAATATGGGATATTTGGCATAAATTCGGGATATTTCACTGGGATAAATATGGGATAATTTGGATTAAATTTGGAAAATTTGGGATATATTTGGGATATTTCACTGGGATAAATTTGGGATATTCCTCAATTTGTTGCAATGTTGGGATGGGCCCCGAGCCTGTGGGATTCCGATGAAAAGCCCCAAAATGCCCCAAAAAGCCTTGGAAGGAAGGGAATCGGTTCAGCCCCCCCCGTGAATTCCTTACTCACGGAATTATCCCGGAGCACTCCGAGGGAAGCGGGGCCCGTTCAGGGATTTTCCAGCCTTTCCATGGGAACGGGATCCCTAAAAAGGGGATTTTCCCCCAAAAGGCCTGGCTGGCATTTATAGGGAGCCGGGAATGTGGGGCAGGCCGGGACAGGCCGGCTGGAACCGGTTTTACCGGGAGACGGAAAAACTGGAAAAGCTGCAGTTCCGAGGGAGCGGGAACGGCTGACCCGGGATAACCCCGGAGCTGCCCGGGTGGGATCGGGACACCCGTGGGACTGGGATCTCTGGGAAAGGGGATTGGGGATATCTGTGGGACTGGGATCTCTGGGAAGGGGGATTGGGGATATCCGTGGGACTGGGATCTCTGGGAAAGGGGGATTGGGGATATCCGTGGGAGTGGGATCTCTGGGCTTCAGGGACTGGGGATATCCATGGCATTGGGATCTCCATGGGATTGGGATCTCTGGGAAGGGGGATTGGGGATATCCATGGCATTGGGATCTCTGGGAAGGGGGATTGGGGATATCCATGGCATTGGGATCTCTGGGACTCAGGGATTGGGGATATCCATGGGTTTGGGATCTCTGGGACTCAGGGATTTGGGATATCCATGGGATTTGGATCTCTGGGATTCAGGGATTGGGGATATCCATGGGGCTTGGGATCTTTGGGAAAGGGGATTTGTATGGTCACACCTGGAGTAACCCCAGATCCGCTTCCCTGCGATCCCTGGATAGGATAGTCGGGGGATCCATGGCATTGGGATCTCTGGGAAAGGGGATTTGTGTCCCTGGATGGGGAATCTGTAGGGATTGGGATCTCTGGGGGATTTGTATGGTCTCATCCAGGATAACCCCAGAGCTTCCCAGGGTGGGATAGCAGGAGATCCATGGGATCAGGATCTTTGGAAAAGAGGAGTTGTATCCCTGGATGGGATATCCGTGGGGATTGGGATCTTTGGGAAAAGGAGATTTGGGGTATCCATGGCGTTGGGATCTCTCGGAAATGGGGGATTTGTATGGTCTCACCTGGCAGAACCCTGGAAACCCTTCCCAGGGATGGGATCTGTGGGGTTCAGGGATGGGATCTGTGGGATTCCGGGGTGGGATCTGTGGGGTTCAGGGATGGGATCCACGCCGGGCCCTTCCCAGCCAGGCCGCAGCTCCAGAGGTTTTCCAGGAACTGCGGAGGCTCCGGGTGACACAAATGGGATTTTCCCGGGGATTTAATTTGGGATGGGGCAGGTCCAAGGCCTGGTTGGAAACTGGCCGTGAATTGGTTGGGAATTTGTAGGGTTTTGCTGGGAATTTGCTGGGAATTTCTTTGGAAGGAGCGAGGGCTGAGCTGGAATTCCGGACGCACTCAACTTCTGAGCTGTGCCGAGGGATTTGGGGCCAGAAAAGTGGGATCAGGCCCAGCCCTCCCCCGCTCTGCCTCCATGGATCCCAGGGATCCATCCCAGATTCCCCCAGGCCAGGAGCAGATCCCGGGCACTCCATGGGAGCCATTCCAAAAAGAAACCCCTTGGGAAAGGCTCCGGAGATTTCCAGGGAATGATGGAGGAAAGGGGAACTCCAGGGCCAAATTCCAGGTGTTCAGTGTCCCCTTTCCTCTGGAAAAGTTGGGATATTCTTTGGGAAAGGCGGGAATGGTGCAATTAAAGTCCCACAATTCCATGGATTTCTACCCAAATCCCAGTGTTTAGTTAATAAATATTCCCCAAATCCTTGGGAAAAGTTGGGATATTCCTTGGGAAAGCGGCTCTGAAACTTTCCAGGGATGGTGGCAGGAAAGGGCATCCCTGGAGCAGTGCCAGCCCCACAATTCCATGGATTTCTGTGAAAATCCAGGTGTTCAATTCAAAAACACGCCCAAAACCCTTGGAAAAACTGGGATATTCCATGGGAAAGATGGGAATGATGCTGTTAAAACCCCAGAATTCCATGGATTTCTGCCCAAATCCCAGTGTTTACTTAATAAACACTCCCAAAACCCTCAGGAAAAGTTGGGATATTCCTTGGAAGGGTGGGAATGATGCCAGAATTCCATGGATTTCTGTGAAAATCCCGGTGTTTAACTTGAGAATAATCCCAAACCCCCTGGAAAAAATTGGATATTCCTGGGAAGGGTGGGAATGATGCTGCTACAACCCCACAATTCCATGGATTTCTGCCCAAATCCTGGTGTTCAACTCGAGAATAATCCCAAAGCCCCTGGAAAAACTGGGATAGTCCTGGGAAAGTTGGGAATGTTGCCACAATTCCATGGATTTCTGTGAAAATCCTGGTGTTTAACTTGAGAATAATCTCAAACGCTCTGGAAAAATTGGGATATTCCTGGGAAAGTTGGGAATGATGCTGTTAAAACCCCACAATTCCATGGATTTCTGTGAAAATCCCGGTGTTTAACTCGAGAATAATCCCAAACCCCCTGGAAAAAGCGGGATATTCCTGGGAAAGGGACCCAGCAGGGGGCAGCCTCCGTGCCGGGAATCCCGGGAAAATCCCGCTGTTCCTGGGAATGGAGACCCGTCCGTGCCTCATTAACACGGGTAATTAACGACCGTGATTAGCGTTAATAAATGGGCAATGGAAAGTTCTGGATGGACTGGAAGGATTGATTGAATTGTGTATTTAAATGAGGAAATTTGAATATTGAAATATTTAGGAATATATTGAAATATTTAGGAATATATAGGAATACAGAAATAGAAAATTTAAAACAAATGTAAAGCTGTAAACATCAGTTTTAAAAGAAATAAAAATAGAAATGTGAATATGAATTTAAACAGGAACATAAATACAAAGGTAACCATAAATATAAACAAAATACAAGTCTGAATGTAAATAAGAAAGTGGAAATAGAAATATAAACCAGAAATATGACAAAAATATAGAAATACAAATATACACACAAACAATAAGTATAATCTTTAAGCTAAATGCAAAGTTGCAAATATAAATTTTAAAAGAAATAGAAATATGAACGTGGATATGAATATGTTTAAATTAAAAATAAAAATACAAAGATAAATTTGAATATAAACACAAATACAAATGTAAATATAAAAGTAAATGTAGATAGGATAAAAAGAAAAGATAAATATAATCTTATATATGTAAGTAAATATAATCTTATATATGTAAGTATATACAAAAATCAAGGTACAAAGATGAATTTGAATATAAACACGAATAAAGTACAAATGTAAATATAACCGTAAGTATAAATAGGAATATAAAATATAAACATCAATATAGACATATACATGTGAATATAAATATAAAAATCAAAATAAAATGCTAAATTTGAATTTAAACACGAATACAAACATAAATATA